ACCTCGCTGGGTGTCGCATCTCGGTCATCATAGACCTCTTCCTTAGACAAAGTTGCAACCTGAACAACACCGCAATATTAAAGGATATCTCATTTAAAAAAAACTGAAAAGGGTAGGAAAAATAATTACCCTATCCTTATTCCTTGATCTTTTCGCGGGTTTTACAGAGGGCGTTTCGCTTTCATTGATTTCACTCTCTTCAGGTGAAGGATCGCGGCTGAAGTGAACAACTATTTGTTTATCTGTGTCACTGAAATATCAACTGCACAAGCACTGTGAAACCAAAAAGCAACCTGCTGCTTGGTCCAGGTGTTGGCTCATCTGAAGTGTCTTCTTCTGGCTCAGCTTTAGTTTCCTCATCTTCGGCTATGGCAAGACTCGTTGTATCCATTGACTTCTCATCGGCATCCTGACACAACTGTGGTTAAAATGAGTAATTTAGAGAATTTTGTGACTAGTACCTCAAGCTGCTCTTCCTCTTCTTCTTCCTCCTCCTCTTCCTCTTCTTTCAAATCCTCAGGAACAGCTATAGCCGGCTGCGTTTCATCTGATAACGTGGAATAATCAGCTGCAGCTATTCCGCCAGAGCAGGTCAGCGGTTCAGGGGACGTCTCTTGCTCGTCTGCTTCTGGCACTGGTTCTGCTTCAGGTTCAGCTTCGGGTTCAGCTTCAAGTTCTGTTTGAGGTTCAACTTCAGGTTCAGCTTCAGGTTCGGCTTCAGGTTCGGCTTTGGCATCGCTGTGTTCCTGGCACCTCCTGTTCTTCCTCGACCGCATCAGTTCGCATAGGAGGAGTTGCATCATCCCTGAATTTCACGGAATAAGGGCTTCTTCAAAATGTGTAGAACATGTTGAGAGAAGTTTGTAAATTAAGTAAACAGACCTGTCATCAAACAAATTAACTGAAGGCTGAATTAAGGGCTGGGGCTCCGGTTCTGGGCGAGATGGTTTCACATCCATTTCTTCTTGAGGAGCTGGAGCTTCCGTCTTGATTTCGGGCTAAACGAAATTTACAATGGCATGATGATAGCTTCAATAAAAAAAATGGAATCACTATACTCCTCAGTGGCTAGCAGCTATTTGCCCTTTGGCACCAACAGTA